TCCGACTCTAGGGTTGCGGTGCTCATCTCCGTTTCAAAGCCGAAGAGCCAGTGCTGTCCGAAGACGTTTCCGTGGTCATGTGGCCGGCATGACTAAACACCAAGGCGCACGGAACGCTGTTACCTTCCCACCGAAGTGGTACCTATTTATTTACTTGCAATTTCTTGTTTTCGAACTGCTAGGTTGGCAGGAGCTGGAACTAGAGATGGGAGCTCATGCCATCATGCGGCACCCGGGTCTCGAACTGCTGAACTACTGACCTTCCACAGCCTACAGTTCAGCATCTTAACCGCTTGAACCACCACAGCTCCGGAGACTGACATACAATGGCCCCAAACTAGTTGTGAGTATAGAACATTGTTATGCAGAGGACTTGGGATCAATCGCTTTAGGGCAGGATTTATTGATATTTATAAAACAACAAATGAGAAGGAAAAAGGAGAATATGTATGGTATCATGGAATTGACTTTATAGAATTCTTGGTCCAATAATATTGGGGAAAACTGTCTATTCTGTTTCTTTGGAAGGAATTCAGATTTTCTAGTATCCCAACAATACTATTTGAAAAGCCACTGGAAGTGTATAGCCTGTCAATCTAGAAAGCAGGGTGGATCCAGTTTGGTGTAGTGGTTAGGAGCGTGGACTCTGATCTGGGAGAACTGGGTTTGATTCCCCACTCTTCCACATGCAGCTGCTGGTGTGACCCTGGGTCAGGCATAAGTTCTTTCAGAGCTGTTCTCTCAAGGGCAGTTCTCAAAAGAGCTCTCTCAGCCCCAGGTGTCTGTTGTTGGGAGGGAAAGGGAAAGGAGATTGTAAGCTGATCTCCTTCGGGTAGCAAAGGGTGAAGTACAAATCCAATCTCTTCTTCTGGATCCTGCCCATGTCTCAACCCCCAGCCCCAATCTTTGTAGTCTGTTTTTCACCTATCCTTTTACCCCAGCCTTACAGTTGGCCCCTCATCTCTCCAATGTCAGCTGTCTGCTCTATGGCCCTTTCACTCTATTTCAGCTCTTGACTCTGCTTCTTCATCACTGTGGATCCCCCCCACCCCTTCTGTTCAGAACAGGCTCATATATCCCATTTGCTTTTATAGGTTAATTTCCCCTTTAGGTAGGCAGCAGGTTTTCTAGGGAAAGGGTTTTGTTTGTTATTTATTGCATTGCCTTTCCCCCTTCTGTAATTTTCATTGATGCTTTTTCTATATTACATAGATTCATTTGGTCTCTGTTCCTGATTATAAAAATTTTTAAAAACCCATTTGTTTAAGCATCTTTCCCCCCCTTATTTTCCGAAGTGCTGATCTGAATCTGGTATCATCAATGAAAGATGCCAAGTAAATAGGTGCCCAAAATGCAAACAGGGGACACCTTTGCACAGTATGGCCCTGACATGTTTATAATGATTTGGGTAACATCTCCTTGGAGGAAGGTCGAATCCACCTCCACTGCTTATAATATGTTTCTTTCCAATGCTTCTGAACCTGTTTGCACTAGACAGGCATAAAATCAGCACTCTCGTGCTTGCCTGTCTGGCACTTTCAGACATTAGTCTTTCAGTTTCCGAGATATGAACTATCACTGAGATAAAATCCTGTCTTGTGCCTAAGAGTAAAACGAAGTGAGAAAGCATGGGCAGCTTTACAGATATATTTAGGATACATTTTACCGTTAAAAAACCCCCACATTCTCTTTCCTCTGTTCCAATTAGGGCACACAAAAAATGGGCTCGGGAACAGGCAACTCATTCCTCCCCTGCTAACTACTGTTGCAGGGGTCAGCACCCTTTTATAATTAAGGATCCAAACTACATCAAAATTCAGGGCAAGAGACCAACAGGGAGCCAGTAGAAGAAAACCCATTTGCATAGCTGAAAATATACAACTGAGCATTGCTGCTAATTGACATGTTGATTAATAGTCTATATATATATTTGCAGCTCAAGTGGTTAAGACGTTGAACGTGCCGTATGACGGAGTGAGCTCCCGTCTCTAGTTCCAGCTCCTGCCAACCTAGCAGTTCGAAAGCAAGAAATTGCAAGTAGATAAATAGGTACCACTTCGGTGGGAAGGTAACAGCGTTCTGTGCGCCTTGGTGTTTAGTCATGCCGGCCACATGACCACGGAAACGTCTTTGGACAGCGCTGGCTCTTCAGCTTTGAAACGGAGATGAGCACCGCAACCCTAGAGTCGGATTCGACTGGCTTTCGAGCAAGGGAACCTTTACCTTTATCTTGCAGCTCAAACCCCGGTTATAATGAGTGATCTATTAGGAAATGACACACATGGGCTCACAATAAGTCATAAGTATGCACAAGAGCACCGTATGCAATTGTTCACTAGCCTAAATCTGTGCATGATTTGCACTTAGGTTATTGACAACTGTTCCTTTCTCTCATTTCCCCTTCTGTAATGCATCTCTAAGAACCCCTTAGCCCCATAAGATAAAAAAATAATAATTCTTTGCTTGCCATTCCCTTCACATGCTGGTTATTCTAGCTTCCCACCTACCCCTCCAACAGACCTTAGCTTAAAGATTTCATTTTCTTTAAGAAGCATAAATGCGAAAAATAAATAAATACATAAATGTTTGGTTCTTTACTGAAGCACATTTGGCTCTGGAGCCACAGTTTGCAGCCCCTTGCATCCTTTGGGAAGCCCATCTCATAAAATGTTGTTTTCTTTGAGGTTGCACTGGACTTCTGCTTTATCTTCCTCCAGTGGACCAACAGCTATCCCTCTGGAATCATCTCATACTATGGCATACATTCTGGTCTCAATGAGGTTGTGCTCCCCCTAACAGATTAGATTTCCAGCTTGGACTCATCTCTGCATCTGGACATCTGGAACTATGGTGTCCTCTGTCAACTTTGATGTGTTATCTAGGTCCCTTTTGGGAAGAGACTGTCTGTCCACCAGTATTCATACTAATTTGTATGTTCCATTGCGGCTTTAACAAGAAAGAAAGAAAGAAAGAAAGAAAGAAAGAAAGAAAGAAAGAAAGAAAGAAAGAAAGAAAGAAAGAAAGAAAGAAAGAAAGAAAGACCACACACATACAAATAAAATTCCTTACCCATTTTGAAAATGTTGTTCAAGATCACAACGTTGAATGACCTCTGAGCAGTATTCTGTGAAAGGGCAGCTAACCATTAGCTTATCCAGGAGTTTATTTACTAGTATGCTGGATTTTCTACAAGTCTGTAGGGTAAGAATGTTGCGGTCCACAGGGCAGAAGTCTTTTTCTACTAAGAAGTCTGTAAGGCAAATTGTGCAGTAGGTATGGCCACAAGGCGTGTCCAGTGGCTGAAGCAAAGGCTGCAGGCAGATGTGGCAAATTAGATCATCATCCACGTCTTCTGTGTAGCTATATGCATGGTTTTCTTCTGGTAAGTGTGACTGGCCACAGACTGGACACAAGGGCTCAGACCTTATGTCTATGTCTTCCAACGGATCTTTTTGACTCATTATTGAATTCTGTTGTATCTCCAAACCGACGGGGGGGGGGGGGACAGCTCTGTCCAAAATACTGTCTGCTGTTGCACAGGTCTTCAAATCTGTAGGAAAACACCACAACAAATTAAAATTATATTTAAAGCAACACTTCTGACTGATAGTTTTGGAAGACAGTGCATAAATTTCAATCAAGCTTGTTCAATAAAGTCAACAAGTCAAAGAGATAAGACAACAAAAATTCAAATGAACTTATATGAAGTTTGTCTAAATTGAGACCTGGATGCATGAAGCTGATTTATACCAAGTCAGATCATTGGTCAGCATAGACCCAGGCAAATTATGAAAATGACAATACCATTAACCAGAAAAGTGGGAGAATTCAATGCAACATGTCCTCTGTATTGTATTCCAGATTCTCTTTGACAACTACAAACAACCAAATAAACAGAAGATAAATTTAATTTTGTGCAAGGATACCAAGAATTTCTCACTCAGGGAATTAGGGAGGGAATGACAGAAGACAGAGGGGCTTTCAACTTCCACAAAGCCATTAATAGTGAACCTGTAGCCAGATCTGGAAATTTACCAGAAAGATTTAAAGTAAGGCCCTGCTGATCTGGATATGAGCGCATATAAAGACTGCACAGGTTATGCTGGAATGTTTGATGCATTGTTTAAAGGTAGATAGGGAGAAAGATAAAGAAATATAGGGGAATTTCACATTACCTAGTTTCTCCCGGTTTCAAGCCGGTATTCTTCTGTTTTGAGGTGAACCGGTACAGGGCTGCCATTATAGCTATAGCGCTATAAAGCGAACGTTAAAAAAAAAACAGCCGGAGATCGCCCGCGCGGGCGAAAAAAGGCGGGAAAAAAGCGTATCCGAACCGGGAGAGGAAACTGGAGACTACTCAGAAGCAGTTGACAGGTGAAACGCTTCAGTCCCGGTTCCTAAACGGGACTGAAGCTTTTGTGTGTGAAATGGCAGTTACATTCCGGTAGGGAACCGATTCTCAAACGGGTTCTGTCTGAAATGACAGACCAGAACCCGTTTGAGAACCGGTTCCCTACCGGGAGATATCACCTGTCTGAAATTCCCCATAGATAAGAGGCTTGTATCTTGAGATCTGAGTATGATAGTACGTCTGACTGCATGTGCAGTAAAGTCCACAGTTCAAATCTCAACACCACCATAAACTCATTAGGTAGCTCAGAGGAATCTGGTTCAATCCTATCATATTTATTTTAGATATTTATACCACACATTTCTTCCCAGTGTGGACCCAAAGTAGCTTACCACAGTGCCTTAACACTAGTTTGCCAGACAGTGAATGGCCCAATTCATCCGGTTAGCATCTATGGCAAACTGGGGATTTGAACTCCAGCCTTCCAGATCCTAGTCCCACATTCTAACTACCAGAGGTCATTTTGTAGAAAAAGAGGTGCAGGAGCTCATTAGCATAACTTATTTACATGTGCCACACCCCCTGACATCACCGGAAGTGTGTCAGAAGGCCACACCCACCGCTCAGGCTCCACTGGACTGTTTTGGATTCCTAGCTATTGGGGGGCGGGGGGAACGTGCAGATCTGTCCTCACAAAGGAGGGAGAGCTTGTACCTGAATAATACTTGGTCTTAAAGGTGCCACTGGACTGTTTTGGACCGGGGGGTGGGGGGGCTCTGCAACTTACCTGGCTGCTACTTGCTCTGACTGAGGGCTGCTGGGAACAGGGGGTGGGGCTTGTTGCATGTGCGCTCCTGCAGGAAACAACCCCTGCTAACTACTACACCTCACCACATGCTTTAGGCAATTTATTATGTTTTCAGCCTAGGCCTCGCCTTTCCCAGCCTCCTGTGTACAATCTAGGGATAACTTTTGGAATAATCACGTTCTATAGTGCAGCCTTATGAAGAAGATCTGAAGGTCATCCTACAGGTGGAACAGCGGAAGGCCTTGTAGTTAGCATACCTAGAATAGGGACTTCCCACTTTTTCAAATTGTGCTCTTGCTGTCTCCTGATTGGCGCGCTCCTGCAGGAAATTACCCCTGCTAACTACTACACCACACCACATGCTTTAGGCAATTTATTATATTTTCAGCCTAGGCCTCCCCTTTCCCAGCCTCCTATGTACAATCTAGGGATAACTTTTGGAATAATCACGTTCTATAGTGCAGCCTTATGAAGAAGATCTGAAGGTCATCCTACAGGTGGAACAGCGGAAGGCCTTGTAGTTAGCATACCTAGAATAGGGACTTCCCACTTTTTCAAATTGTGCTCTTGCTGTCTCCTGATTGGCTCTTCTGGAGACTTCCTGCTCCGGTAGAGCTCTTTGTTCCTTTTACAGCAGTTAGACTGGTTAGTTTAGGTTTTCTCTCTGTCTGTTCTACAGTGTGTTATAAACCTACTTATTTTTTCTCTAAACAGTCAGTGGTCCACTTCCTTTGCATATTTAAACTCTGCCAACAGTTGCAATAAATACTGAACTACCTTATAGGGTGGAGCTGCGGTGGCTCAAGTGGTTAAGACGCTGAACTGCAGGCTGTGGAAGGTCAGTAGTTCAGCAGTTTGAGACCCGGGTGCCGCAAGACGGAGTGCGCTCCCGTCTCTAGTTCCAGCTCCTGCCAACCTAGCAGTTCGAAAGCAAGAAATTGCAAGTAGATAAATAGGTACCACTTCGGTGGGAAGGTAACAGTGTTCCGTGCGCCTTGGTGTTTAGTCATGCCGGCCCCATGACCACGGAAACGTCTTCGGACAGCGCTGGCTCTTCGGCTTTGAAACTGAGATGAGCACCGCAACCCTAGAGTCGGATTCGACTGGCTTTCGAGGAAGGGAACCTTTACCTTTACCTTATAGGGTGGTTCTAAGCACTACTGAGATAATGGATATAAAATGTACACTCAGAAAGGGCTGTACAAAAGCTTAGGGTTTCAACTAGGAACACAACTGATATGCTTATCCATGTGTTTGCTGTTACTTCTTATCTTTTAAAACCTGCCTTTCGTGCCTTGTAGGTACAACTGCTTGCTCTGCTTTTCTCCTGCAAACCTCATATGCGGAGTAGATTCCATGATAAAATATGCCAGAGTGATGTTAGGCTGACAACTTTCCCCCCTCAGTGAGCTCCTGTGCCTTCACAATGTTGGTGTTAGGGTGGAACAAAACAAACACCTCTTTCCCCGTCACTGTATTTACATGCACTGAAAAGCTTCACCTGAATTTCTGTTTTTTGCACAGCTATTAAAACCTAATAGAAAACAAAGCTGTCAGCCCCGTATGGAAATCCCCATCAAAGGGTCAGTATGTGGGTGAAACAGGGGTGAAGCGGTGCAAGTCATTTATTTTGCTACAAGGCCCATTTATTTCTCTACAAGGCTGCCAGATTGTTCACAAATGAATAATTTGTTGGTGTGAACTCAATATCCTAGGAAGCTCTAAGAAAAGCTCTCCATGAGGGCTGAGATGTGGATTCAAGTTTCAAGGTGAACCAGGAGTGCCTGGTTATCAGCAATCTCTGAGTCTTCTCCCAAAATGTAAAAAATGCCTCCCAGAGTATGAAAGAAATTCTTCATTTCACTGGCTTGTGCTATACCCAGAGATATGGAATCTCACAGCAATCTTTTACTGAAGACCGCTGTCTGGCCGCAGCTCCAGTGTGGAACCCATTCCCCAAGGGGGCATTGTATTAGGGAAGGAAAAACCAAAAAATGTAACTTCTGGCAATTAATTGTGTCCTTTTGTTTTCAAGTAATATGATACTGTTGTTGTTCAGTCGCACAGTCGAGTCCAACTCTTTGCGACCCCATGGACCAGCTCCCGCCAGGCCTTCTGGTCTTCCGCCGTCCTCTGAAGTTTGCTCAACTTCATGTTCGTTGAATCGATGACACTGTCTAACCATCTCATCCTTTGCCATCCCCGTTTTCTTTGACCTTCAATCTTTCCCAGCATCAGGGTCTTCTCCAGGGAGTGCTCCCTTCTCATTGGGTGGCCAAAGTATTTGAGCTTCAGTTTCATTATCTGGCCTTCCAGGGAACAGTCAGGGTTGATTTCTTTTAGGACTGACTGATTTGATCTTCTTGCAGTCCAAGGGACTCTCAAGAGTCTTCTCCAGCAGCATAGTTCAAAAGAATCTATTCTTCGGTGCTCGGCCTTCCTCATAGTCCAACTCTCATGATACTGACACAACCCAAAAAAACTAGACATCGATTTTGCCCCCACGCATCCATCCAGTGAGCCAGATTTTTTGTTTGTTTTGCCCTCCAGTCACAGCTGACTCATGGTGACCCCATCGGGTTTTTCAAGGCAAGAGATGTTGAGAGGTGGCTTGCCATTGCCTGCCTCTGCATCATGACCCTGGACTTCCTTGGAGGTCTTCCATCCAAGTACTTAGTTTCCAAGATCATGAGATCGGGCTAGCCCAAATTACTCTGATCCTGGGCTAGCCCAGCCAATCTGATCTTCATCTAATTTACACCAAGGAAGGATTCTGTCCAAAAATTCAGAGGTGGTAGTGATACTTTTTAATTTTGCGGGTAGAGATGATATTTACATACCTTCTGTACCTTGAGACACATTCCTTCATTGATAAACAAAACTACAGGGGATGAATTATGCCCTTGTATGGACAGCATGACAAAATTGCATTGGCCAGAACTGATTTATGACTTACTATCTGGCTTGCTTATGATTTCACTGGGGATACACCATGTTTCAAAACACTGACTCCTGAATTTGGGGGCAGGACGGTTTCTTGGTGAGAGCTGAATGTAAACAGCAAATTAGGACAGGATTAGATTAACCCATCTTTGTTTAAAAACATAGAACTGTTTGGCTGAATGGGGTGGGGAGGAGAAAAATTGTCAGGAGCTTTTGGGACTTCATTACTATCATATTACCTGGAAACAAAACAGCATGACGGGTACCAGAAGTGACACTTATCTCATTTTGGGGTTATTGCCCTTCCCTACTATAATGTTTTCTGAGCCTTCAGGATTACACACAAAATGCAGCACCAA